CTGATCTATATATGTATATCTCTATAATGTTGAATTTAAAAAAAATTTTTCAAGTACTATTTAAAGTACTGCATTTTAAATATTTCCATATTATCATTTAAATAGAAAGTTCACCTAAACAGCCTGACACAAGTAGAAAGATTTTAAAAATCATGTACTAATAAAAACTAAGAATGTATCTTTTATTCTCCAATACTGAAAGCAGAACCAATAAGGGAGCTCTTGATGTGTTACACGGCTCTTGCAAATTACCTTTTTTGTTCGGTGTCTGTCATTTCGAAGCTGGAGTAATCTCATATTACAAGTTTTTCTTTAATATTAATTTGCCTAACGGTCGATCTGACCGTGTAGACACCATAATCCTACTTTCTCTCCCGCTTTGTTTTTTTTTTTAATGGTGGGCGTTTACACAGTTGGTTAGAGCGGTACTGATTGGGGAGAAGGGAGGTGCGCTCTCTCAATTGGTTAGTAAGACTGGCACTCAAGGCTGGCAGTCATGCATTTGTTCTTGAACAGAGTCATATTGCATCCACATCGCAGGCTTTGAGATTAGTAAATCGCAACTTCTCAAATCGCGATTGTGATTCTATTTTTATTAATCGCTCAGCCCGAGTCGCTGTCACAGAACAGTTGTTGAATGAAGAGTTATGAAACAGTTGGCTTACATCATTTTGTGTTCTAAAGAAAGAGTAACAGCACACAGGTTTAGAAAGTTCACTACCATTCAAAAGTTTGGGGTTGGATTTTTTAACTTTTTTGTCTTTTATGGTCACAAAGTGTTTTTTCTTATTTAATAAATAGAGTGAAATAGTAATAATGTGATATTTATTCCTATATTATGTTTCAAATGAAATTTTTAGGAGCCGTTACTTTAGTCTTCAGTTTCACATGATCTTTCAGAAATGATTCTAATCTGCTGATTTGGTGCTCAAGAAACATTTCTTACTATTATCAATGCTGAAAACAGTTGTCTGGGCAAACATTACATTTAAATCGGAAAAAATCGTATTGTTGTATAGTGTGTATTCCAGCCTTAACTATTATAGAAATGTAGATGGAGCCAGTGGCGTGTGACAAAAAGGGGCGTAATGTCCGCACTCTTGGGTTCATTGAAGACCAGACGTGCCGCTGCATTCTGGATCATTTGGAGAGTTTTGATTGCACACGCAGGAAGGCCAGCTAAAAGCATTACAGTCCAGTCTAGAAATGATCTGCCAGGACCAGGAGTGGTGTAGCATGCTCAAATATTAAGGGTCGGATTTGCTTGATCCTCAAAGCCCGCTTTAAGAAGTGGGCTTTGAAGACCAAATAATCTTCACGAACAATATCGCAAATAGTATTCCCAGGTTCCTGGCTAGGAAGACAAGGAGTTAAGTTAAAGTTGGTGTTCTTTCATCCAGGCTGAGATGTCTGTTGGGCAGGCCGATATCTGTGCTGATTTTGTCTCTGTAACGTAGTTTGTAGATCGGGAAGGAGGAGGCGGGAACCGGCGAACATTTAAGATTTTTAATAATAAAATAAACAAACACAAAATAGCGCGACAGCCCCTCGCGGACGACTGTCGCGCACAAACAAAACCTCAACACAAAATAAACGCCAGGCCTGGTCCTCTCTCGTCTGACACTGTCGTCACTCCTCCCTTTTATCCTTCCGGAGCTCCTCCGTGAGACTTGAGACCGGTGAGTGGTGCAGGTGTCACTCATTATCAATTACTCCACCGGCCTCGCCCCGCCCCCACGGCTCTCGGCCCCGCCCCCACTCGTCACAGTCTCATAAAGAGGAGGGGGCAGAGCACTGAACCCTGAGGTACCCCGATAGTTAGTTGACATAATGACCCCTCTCCCCTCCTTGTGAAGTAGGACTAAAACAAAGTACAGTTCCTGTGATTCCCTAGATTTAGAGACAGTAAGGTTTTGTGGTTATCAGTGTTGAATCCTGCAGATAAGTCCAGCCAAATGAAGACGGACGATCTCCCACCAGCCACAGGAGTTCAGTGACGGATAGCAAGTCTGTGAATATCAGCTCTTAAAACCTGACTGATTACTGTCTAGCAAGTTGTTCTGTGAGAGGAAAGAAGAAACCTGAAGAGGAGAAGAGAGACCTAAGGGTTACCCAAGCCTTTTTTTGATGTGTTAGGCTAGTGGGAATAGGGTAATGGGGGCAGGTTGTAGCATGGTTCAAGAAAGTTAGGAGACCGATAATAGTGTCGATAAGACGATAATAATGTCTCCACGATCTGCTTTTGAAGAAATATCGTGCTACAGCGCACATTCTCAGTTGCAGTTCTGGCGCCTCCGTATCTATATACTGTACAACGTCAAATGCATTCACATCAGTGTTAACTCAGTGGTAAAGTTACTCTAACAGGATACTGCACTTATTCGCAATCACAAAAGTACATTATTTGCCGGTTAAATGTTTCATTCACGCACTGGTCAGATGAGCGCTTTTTCTGAGCGCCGCATACACTCAAAGCGCGCTATAAAGCCTGGCAAACAGTGCCTGATTTCTGAACTAAGTTATCTTTTGCTCTAATATTGTCAAAACACACAAGGTTTACATATGTGACCCTGGACCACAAAACCAGTCATAAGTAGCATGGGTATATTTGTAGCAATAGCCAAAAATACATTGTATGGGTCAAAATTGTAGATTTCATGATTCATTCAGATGCCAAAAATCATTAGGATATTAAGTAAAGATCATGTTCCATGAAGATATTTTGTAAATTTCCTACCATAAATATATCAAAACTTCAGTTTTGATTAGTAATATGCATTGCCAAGAACTTCATTTGGACAACTTTAAAGGCGATTTTCTCAATATTTAGATTTTTTTTTGCACCCTCAGATTCCAGATTTCAAATAGTTGTATCTCAATCAAATATTGTCCTATCATAACAAACCATATATCAATGGAAAGCTTATTTATTCAACTTTCAGATGATGCATACATTTCAAAACATTGACACTTAAAGGGATAGTTCACCCAAAAATGAAAATTACCCCATGATTTACTCACCCTCAAGCCATCCTAGGTGTATATGACATTCTTCTTTCAGACGAATACAATCAGAGTTATATTAAATAATGTCCAGGCTAATCCATGCTTTATAATGGGAGTGGATGGTAGCCCAAAATTTGAAGTCCAAAAAATTGCACCCATCCATTATAAAAGAAGTCCACACGGCTCCGGGGGGTTAATAAAGGCCTTCTGAAGTGACACGATGCGTTTGTGTAAGAAAAATATCCATTTTTACAACTTTATAAACCTTAATCTCTAGCTTCTGCTAACTGCCGTACGCTCGTTCACGAGGGAGTGGCGTCCAGTGGATGACGTAGGTGTAGGATAAGCTCCGGTGAGAATATGCTAGTCTTGCGAGAAACAAGTTTTGTTTACAGTGTCCTCTTGGCTTTTATCGAAATCGTCCGACATTTTTCTGTACAAATCCTCGTTTTGTTCTAATTCGTGACCGGTGTTTTGTTTTGCTCTCTCCTCTGCGCTTCCACGTTCGTCACTTCCGCGTTCGTCACCGCGTT